AATCAAACAGCTTGGCTTAAGACGTTCTCACTCGTACCACTCACCCCAGATAACACTATTTGCAATTTGCAATTTTGAAGGAAGTTTTTTTCAGATTGCCTGAAATTTCATATCAAAACGAGAATTTCATTCGCAAAGAAAACCAGAATGAACTGATTCCAGAATGACTTGTATGAGAACAAAATATCATTTTTTTGTTATCATGAAAGAAAGTACAGAGAAATATTTGGAGACGGAATAAACTCATTCCAGGATGAGCACCTTTGGACCCTCGGAAAAAAGTGTTTTATAAATGTCTCATTATTATTATCATCATCATCATCATCATCATCATCATCATCATCATCATCATCATCATCATCACCATCACCATTATTATTATTATTATTATTATTATTATTATTATTATTATTATTGATATTGTGAATTTTCAATTTCAGGTCCAAAATGGAGATGAAAATGTTCACTTGTTAAAAATTGACACTAGTAAAGCATTTGAGAAATTCAGTGGAAAATACTTGGATTCTACTGATTCTGGTGAGGAGATGTTTCATGAGTTCCATTCCTGTTTGACCCATTCCTTTCATCCAGTATAATTTCTTTCATAAATAACTGAATCATTTGATAACGCAATTCTAGAGTTCTGACTGGCTTATACCATGCTCTCCAAATATGGTAACTATACATATCTGCTCAAAATTAAAAACAAGCTGAAAATCCGTTGTTTTACAAATAATGTGGGGAAGAATTGTCAATATTTTGTAGGCGTTTTTAATAAAGCAATTATTATTCCACTCGCGCTTGTTGGATATGAGATGATTGTAGCCAACTGGGTCCTACGTACCTCGTTGGCTATCTACCATCTCATATTCAATGCGCACTTGTGGAATAATTGTTAAAGTCCCCCTTCTCTTCAATTTGTTTTCTTTTGGTAGATTTCCATATCTTTCAAGAACTCATTTTCGAAAAAATTTTTCAGAAATATTGAATCCTTTTTTTTTACGAGCGCTAAAAGTTACTGAAATTTTTAAATTTTTGCGCGCTATAAACCCCGCTGGACAAATTTTTGTCTCGTGGACTCATTAGGAACGAGCCAATGAGAAGCGTCTGATATTTGACACTTTTTTAGCTGTGACGTAACAAAAGGACACCATTCCAAAGCACGAAGCATTGAAAGTATAATATATAGTGCGATCGAAGATTATTGGTATGAAAATATGTCCTCTTCCAAAGAGTTTTCCGACACAAGTAGCGAAGAGTATCTTTCAGACGATTCAGAATGCCTGGACTTTTTGCACGAATTCTTTTCTTACGTCACGCTCCATATTTGGACACATTTGGCCGAGTGGGGGACTAATGCAAACGATAGGTGAAAATATAGACAAGACTGCCTTCACTTTTAGTGCTAGTCAAAAAAAAGGATTCAATATTTCTGAAATTTTTTTTGAAAATGAGTTCTTGAAAGATATGGAAATCTACCAAAAGAAAACAAATTGAAGGGTTAGGGGCACTTTAAATAACAGAATAGACCACACTACCTAGGAACTTCCCGTAGTCTTTTGGAACAGGAGGGAAGATTCTATACATCCCCTTTAGATTAACTAAGGAAAGAAAGATTCCACAAGGCTCACAGCTTAGCGTCATCACCCAACAAAGTGGCCAGTCATCTGAACTGAAAGAGTCATGATATATGATCTTAACAGTAACCTTGGCCTCCTGCTCTAGAGAATAGCCCATTTCCAAATGTGCTAACCAGGGGACAGTACTTTTTTTAGCTTTTTACATCTCACTTAAAGTTAGTTTGGCCAAGGGCTAGCTTGGACTACATAGATTCTCCTTCTCCAGTCACTTTGGTCCAGCATTGCCATTCTGAGTTCTCCGATAGTGGCGAACCCATGTTTGTTATGTACGTGGTCCCTAAACACAACATAAGCTTCGATGTGTCATCCTCTTTGTGTCTAACACAATGTCCAGCTAATCTCTTTCTTCTTTCCCTGATCTTGCTAGAAAGCTTTAAGAGGTGACTGTACAGATCTTTATTTAAGATGTGATTCCTCCAAGAAATGTCTAGTGTCGTGCAAGGCGTCCTAGTATTATGAAGGAAATATAAGAAAATAAGAGTTGCTATGTAAATATTGTTTAGTATTCTTTTGACGCNGAAAATGAGTTCTTGAAAGATATGGAAATCTACCAAAAGAAAACAAATTGAAGGGTTAGGGGCACTTTAAATAACAGAATAGACCACACTACCTAGGAACTTCCCGTAGTCTTTTGGAACAGGAGGGAAGATTCTATACATCCCCTTTAGATTAACTAAGGAAAGAAAGATTCCACAAGGCTCACAGCTTAGCGTCATCACCCAACAAAGTGGCCAGTCATCTGAACTGAAAGAGTCATGATATATGATCTTAACAGTAACCTTGGCCTCCTGCTCTAGAGAATAGCCCATTTCCAAATGTGCTAACCAGGGGACAGTACTTTTTTTAGCTTTTTACATCTCACTTAAAGTTAGTTTGGCCAAGGGCTAGCTTGGACTACATAGATTCTCCTTCTCCAGTCACTTTGGTCCAGCATTGCCATTCTGAGTTCTCCGATAGTGGCGAACCCATGTTTGTTATGTACGTGGTCCCTAAACACAACATAAGCTTCGATGTGTCATCCTCTTTGTGTCTAACACAATGTCCAGCTAATCTCTTTCTTCTTTCCCTGATCTTGCTAGAAAGCTTTAAGAGGTGACTGTACAGATCTTTATTTAAGATGTGATTCCTCCAAGAAATGTCTAGTGTCGTGCAAGGCGTCCTAGTATTATGAAGGAAATATAAGAAAATAAGAGTTGCTATGTAAATATTGTTTAGTATTCTTTTGACGCCCCTGAATTCAACTGATGGTAATCATGAACAAAGTTTTAGTTCTTTGTTGTTCTAGTTATTCTTTTTTTGCCATTATTCTTTAGATTTCTCCGGGCAATCTGGCCCAAGGCAGATGAGAGGTTATGTGACAAAAACAGAGTATGAAATGCTAGGAGATGGAACAACCAAGGAAACACCACAGAATAAATTCAACAGACTTCAGCATGAGATAAGAGAGCTTGCAGAGGAACTCGAACATATCAAGGTATCATCCCAATCCTTCTTATAGTTGACAAAGTAAAAAAAATCACAACGAATGAAAATTGTTTTTGTTTTTGTTTTTGTAAAATCCTAAGAAATAAAGTAATAGAAGTAAGCCAAAGTGTTTCCATTTTTTTGTTTTTGATGGAGCTGAAAACAATAGTTAGTCACCAGACAATGTGGGATTAACTGACAAGAATTTTTCCATATCAGACAACTTCTTACCTACTGTCAGTAGACATGTACTGGACTGATCTGTCATTTTGCAGAACAACATGGATTAAAATTGCATGCAGTACATTCTCTTCAAAAGGAAGATGTGTCAGGACTTCTTCTTGTGAGAGACCTCCTGCAGTTTGCCTTTCATAAGAGACCACCTGCCATAATCGACCTCTAACTCTTCGCATTTTTGGTGGTCGCTTATGTGAAGTTCAACTGTATGTTAAATGACAGTATCATTGTTTTACATCATTTGCTCAACTAGGTTTTCTGTAATTCCAAAAACCTCTTTTGAAGCTTACGTGATCTCTGAGCATTGCTGCTTCATTTTAAAATTGTTGTTTTACAGGACACAATGCAAGATGAAAAGGAAGAGAAGAAACTCTCTCCAGTTGTACTGGTACAAGAGGTAAAATCATACTGTAAGGATCAAATTAGTTAGGTGAACTGCCCTCCCCTGCCTGATATTCAGGTTTTATTTTTAATACATTTAATATCATACACATGCAATCCATCCTTTTTTTGCTATGAGCTACCTTTTCATAGCCTGCGCGCAGACGAAATTAAACTCTGGTTAACTCCGCCTGCGAAACAGTGCCGAAATCCTTGTTCTGGACTTCCAGCTGTGTACCCACATTTGAGTACTCGCCACAATTGGCCAGTTAAAAAAGGCCTTTGTTTTGTTTGTCGTGATAGCCAATCAGGTTGAAGGGAAATTCGAAACGCACTTCCGGTAATTCGTTGAGTCCGTTGGGGGCTCAGAACAAGGATCTCTGCGCTGCTTCACAGACGGTACTAATCAGAGTTTAGTTATCGTCTGCACGCAGGCTACCTTTTCATTCCTTTGGGATTTTTCTTTTCACAGAATTCACAGAGAGAAACCTCTTGGAGAGCTGTCTCCATTTTGTGTGAATTTGACTCTAAGAAAATAAACTTCAACCCCATTTTAACTCCAACAAAGAACAAAATAACTAGAAAAGTTTTTTTTTTTAGATTTTGAAGATTTTATGTATGTTTTTAGTAATTCTTAACCTGTGTCTAATTTCTGTTTTAAGCAGGATGTTAGATGTCAATAAAAATCGATCAGCGGAAAGCTAGTCGATAAGTCGATATTATTCTATATTAATTTTGTCAATAATTATTGTCGATTGTTATATTTGTCGATAAGAGTCAAAAATCACAGTAATCTCAGGACAGGTAATCAATATCGATAGACTTCTGAGACATGAGCTGAGAATATCTGTTGTGGATCTACGCAAACTTGAGGTGAATGCTGAGTAAGGAGAAGGATTTGGACGTCGCAATTCTTCAAATGCACACGGATAATACTCATTTACAAAAGGATATAAAAATCGTTCAAACAAATGCTGCATCAGCTCAAGTAGACTTTCAAAAAAGTCATTCATCCAATTTAATATGGTGCAAAACTTTTCAAAGAGATGTTAATGATTTTCTAACTGTTGAAACTGTTGCCTCTGATCCTTTTTGTCTACCAATAGTTTTTGGAAAAAAATTGCACTCTAACACCAATTTCGATAGAAATCGATAATCACACGAAATTTTATGATGGACTTTTATCAATTTCAGATGTCCACTGATTGATTAGTATTGATATTTATTAACAACAATCGATTTTGATTGACTATCGAAATTATCGACATGTAATGTCTTGTTTTTAGTAATTCTTATTCATTTTGTGAACAACCAAGACAAGATAAGACATTTATTACCATAATATTGTGTACGATTTCTTAGCACACAGCTAGCCAAAAATTCTAGTCTTGGGGTGCCAAATTAATTCTATTACAAAACAGATATTACCTGGTAATAAGTAAAAAGCAAAGAGAAAAGAAAAGAAAGAATATGCTGATCTCTTTCATTAGAGAGATTTGGAATCACTTTTACCACAAACGGCAATCGTCAGCTTGAAGTTGACAATTTCTCAAAGTAGGAAATAAGCAGATAAAAACTATGCAAAATAATTTTTATTGATAAGCCTGGCATGAAACTACTTATTTTTGTGTAGATATAATATTAACAGTAAACAGCAAGTAAAAGGAAAATTTAGTTAGTCACATAGTAAAAACTGACATTTGCCATTTGCTGTTTGCTGTTACCTTAGCTCTAAATTTCTCTATTGTGTCAGAATAAACTTCATTCATTCATTAATTGACTCATTCATTCATTGTCGTTTATTATATTTTCTTTTTTCAGGTCCAAACACTTCAAAAACAGGTACATGCAAATGCTCTTTTCCAAGGTTCACACAGTCATGAAAATTCCTTTAATTTCAGCTGAAGCTCTTTGAATGTCATTGAATACAATAAATTCTTTCATCAAAGAAATTCCTCAAGTTGTCCTTGAATTACATACATCTTTGAAAAACTAAAAGCTGAATTTAATAATTATTAATAGTCCTTTAAAGGTCCTTGAAGAATTATGTCAACGGTACTTAGTAATACACACTTTTGAAGAAGATAACCATACTTCAGACTGATGATGATGGTATTATCAAATTTAGGAGAAACTTCTTTCAGGGTTGTCACTAAGATTTTAAGTTGCCGGGTAAATACCACAAGTGGATGGGAAATCAAACAGCCAGGGATTTCTTTTGGTTTTTTTTCTCTTCCATTTTCTAATGAAAGTAGCCCGGACCCGGGGACCACATTCGTACTAGCGGGAGGAAATCCCCGGTCCCCAGCTCTTAATGACAGCCAAGTTGTTCTGTGTTCTAAGTGTTTTATTTACATATCTGTGTTTTTCATTTGTCACATATTCAGCTTGAGGACTTACATCTGGTCAATGTGCTAGGGAAAGAGGTGAGTAAAATTAATAGTGTTAGTGAGCCAGGATGTTAATCACACCCTCCAACCCAAATAAGAAAGGAAAAGAAAAGAAAATACCAAACAAACAAACAAAAGTCCAAAATGTAATAAGTGTCAGATTGTAGGCATACACACTTGGCTATGAGATATGCACATAGGGATGTTATACATGAAGTAGCAACCATATTTAGCCGCCTAGTGATCAAATGTTTAGCTTCGTGAAATTAAGAGAAGCAAGTTGAATGACATTGAGTCAGTTATATTGTCAAGCCCTCCATGCATGTGCCTTGGAGGCACTGAAATTTTTTCAACTACAGTTCAAAACAGCCAAAGAACCAGGAGTCAATGGCAAATTCAAACCACAACTACAGTAGAACCCTGATAACTTGAACTCCCCTCTAACTCAAACTAAGTTCCATTTCTCTTGGATTTCACCCCACTTGGCAGTCATTTTTACTAGGCTGGCTTGAACTCAGATAACTCGAATTCCTTGCTGACTCGAACTAAAGTTACTTCCCCTTGATCAAAATTTCACTGAAATTTAGCCCAACAACTTGAATTCTGGTTCTTGTAACTCCACTCAAATGCTATGTCATTAGCTCTTCTTGTTGTACTAACACTACTGCAATTTGATTTTGATTGGTGCGACTACAGGTCATGTTTTATCATAAAAAGCATAATTGTGTTACAATTATTAAGATGGCAAACTTGACATTCAATCGACCCTGATAACATGAACTCCTACTAACTCAAACTGTTTTTCTTCTCCCTTCAGAGCTTGAGTTAATGGGGTCCTACTGTATAGCATTCCCAAGCCAGTTATTCTCCCTGTTGGTTCTTAGCTCTAACCGGTTTTGTTTATTACAGGCTTTGACAGTGGCATCAACACCTCAAGCAGGATTGTCAGAGTAAGTCTAAAAATAGTTGTCAAGTTTAGTCATTAGAATAAACAAAGAAATCCACATAAAGCTCTGTCCAAATAATGGTGAAGGGGAGTAGACCTAAACTGTAAGTTCTTTGTTTCAGTTTTACAGAGTAACAGAAAATAGTATGAAATTAATTAGAATTAAATCCAACACTCCAAAAAGACAAGAATAAAGAAACAAATTGTGAAAATTCTATTCAAAATAAATTCTGATAATATGTGATATTCTGTACATGTATGTTTTGGCATTGTTATAGGTTATGCAGGGTAAAACTCCCTGTAACCTTAAGCAAACATGTGTTGTTCAGGGAGCCACGTTTATTTTCAACATGCCTTTCCAAGGCAGGCCTGGTTGCTGGGCAACATGGCCAGGTTACATATGTGACACTCCCTTAGTAGGAACAAAAGCAGTCAATTTTTAACCTTAAAAGTCCCAAGATTCCCATAATTGGAGGTTCACAAAAAAGTAAAAAACTGTGAACTTTTAACATACAAAAAATAAAAAATACCCCTAAATTTCTTCTTTATGCACCAGTCAATTCCACCTGCGCCCAGCACCCCCCCGGGCTGACCCCCGGGCATTAGCATTTTTTTTGCCTTGGATGGCAAATTTCCTGGGGGTAGGGACTCTTGAGCTGTCAAATCCCCCGGCGTGGGGACGGAAAAAGAGGGCAAATGCCCCGTCCTCTGTCAACGCTGCAACATTTTTCATTGATCGCACAGTCAAATAGTGCCATTTTAAGCATTTTAATGTGCGACTTTTTGTTTCAATTAACGTCTTCCTTTGTAATAGCGCTAGGATTCTAACTAAGACTTCATGTCGCGACAACATGCACCAGTGTATGGTTTTAGTATTGATATAAAATTATTGACATTAAAATTAATATAGGGGGCTAAGCGCAGGTGGAATTGACTGATGCATTATGAATGATCACATCAAAAGGTTTTGTACCCAGACTCAATGTTAAGGTCTAGAAAACAATTTATTATAAAATAAGCTCTGGTAGGGGATGAAATACTAGTGTCTTTTGATCTTTGTTTTTTTCTTCAGACGTCTGCAGACTCAACTTGAAGCTTTTAAATCTGCAGAAGCATTAGGTAGCAAGCAAGCAAAGGTACAGTGTTAACTGACAATCCTTTTTTATACCACAAATATCTTACCTCTCTGTTAGTGCCAAGAGTGTCACACTGTTTTTACACTATAATGTAATAAGGTCAATAAAAATAAAAAGGCATTATCCTCCTTTAAATAGCTTTGTTAGATTATCATGCAGGGGTGCAGGGATGTTGCGGTAATTAGAGCACTCATGCCGGTGACCCACAGTTGAGTTGACGTGTCGACACCAAAATGGTTGAGGTTGTAGTTGGTTCTCTCCTCTGCTCCTCAAAATCTAACATTTTTAAATTCCANCTTTTGATCTTTGTTTTTTTCTTCAGACGTCTGCAGACTCAACTTGAAGCTTTTAAATCTGCAGAAGCATTAGGTAGCAAGCAAGCAAAGGTACAGTGTTAACTGACAATCCTTTTTTATACCACAAATATCTTACCTCTCTGTTAGTGCCAAGAGTGTCACACTGTTTTTACACTATAATGTAATAAGGTCAATAAAAATAAAAAGGCATTATCCTCCTTTAAATAGCTTTGTTAGATTATCATGCAGGGGTGCAGGGATGTTGCGGTAATTAGAGCACTCATGCCGGTGACCCACAGTTGAGTTGACGTGTCGACACCAAAATGGTTGAGGTTGTAGTTGGTTCTCTCCTCTGCTCCTCAAAATCTAACATTTTTAAATTCCAAGTTGATCAGAAAAATAAGTCTATAATCAGTTGGGCCACAGATCAATCAGTTCATGGAACTTTCAAATGTCACTCTCTTTTTAAATAATGTTAGTTACTTTGTTTGTTTTTTCCAAGCATTCTAGACCATTGTACATCATGAAAATGAATAGAGTCAGACTAATTAAGTTTGACGTCTGAATCAACTGTCCAACTTGTATCACTAATTAAGTTCAATGTCTGAATCAGCCATCAATGAAACTTCTACCATTTGGATAGACCCAAATAGGTATTAAGTCTGGTACTAAATAATTAACTTGAAAAGTTTGATGTTTGAACTTGTCCTAAGGTAATACTTAATTAGTAAGCTAATTAACAAGAATCCTCTCCTCCTGCTAGAATGATGAAAGTTGTGTTACTTATGAGCTGTTTTACAAACCAGAGCATGCTAAGTTCAATCAGCTTTCAAAGGTATGACTTTATACTAATTTGCTGCGTCTTTGCTATTTTTACATCAGTCTGTCAGAATACTGTCATGTGCTTGCTGTTTGAAGTATACAACCTGTTAAGATGCATTCTTTGATTCTCTAAATTTCCAGTGTCTTTAAGTCAGTTAGCCAGAACCTGTTATATCTTGTGTTCAATGTCCAGTACGTATACAAGATTAATGTATTGGGGAGGTGGTAAGAAATTCATGGCTTGGTGTTGGTTTATTATCTATGCCAGCTCCAACGTAAAATACATGTAACATAACAAAGACCACATTTTATCCCAAATTTAAGAGTAGCTATGTGATAAGCTTATGTTTCCAAGTGGAAATAACAATAAAATTATAAGATACTGGAAAAATGGAAAATGTGTGAAGAAGTAAATAGAGTGGTGGCAATAATTCTTTACCCTTTAAGTTCCCAGAGTGACCAACATTGGTTTTCTCCCAACAAAATCAATATGTCTTCAAGAGAAACAGTTAGGAGAATTTTAAAAAAGGTCACCAAAGGAAAAATTCTCTCAACTAACTTTTTAAGGAAATGTGTCAAGATCAGTTTGGAGAATGTTTATGTGGATATTGAGGCTTAAAGGGTTAAAGCAATGAGCAAAACAAGAATTAGCTATCAATTTAAGACAAGTGAACTGAAAAATGTAGAGAAGTTGGTGGAGCAATAATTTGTTCAGGCCTTAAAGTCTTGTTACAATAAGCTGAGAATGTGAATGTTTGTACAATCTGTGAAAGTATATTCCTGGTAGGTGGTCCTTGAAAATCGAATGAGGACCTTGAAAAGTCCTTGAAAAATGGTTGCAAATCTTTGTATGAACCCTGGACTAAGAAATCTCAGCTTTTTCTTAGAAATCCTATTCTGGGCATCTTGGATTTCACAGATTCAGAGCACATAGTTCATTCTTTTCCATGTTAATCAAACTCAATTATTAGTTATGCAAAGCTCTATTTTAAAGGCATCATTAATTAGTCCAACTCACTTTAGTCCTTGACATGGTGAATCATCCATGCTGCATAACCTAAGATAATTTGTTTTTACATTTACATTAATTGCAGTTGACTGCTGATAACTTAAACTCTCGCTAACTCGAACCTAGTGCTAGCTCGAACCCTTGATAACTCGAACCTCGTGCTAACTTGAACCCTCAAATATAACTCAAACCTCCCGCCAACTCAAAGTAATTTTTGTTTCCCTTCAGCTCATGTGTATATAATTGGGGAAAAAACAGTGTACTGAAATCCAAAACTTTGAATTTATTTCAAAACAACCATGTCAATTTTTGTCTTTACTTTTTTGTCAAATTGAGTGTCCATCCTTGCATATTTTATCAAACTTTGTTGTTGTGTTTTAATCAAGGTTTGTTGTTTAATCAATCTATATCTCTTGCTGCCCTTGAAGTAAAGTGTTCAGATACTTACATTCCCTCCCCATCCATTTGCTTATTTCCTTGTTTCTGGTTATTTGCTTCGAACGCCCAATAACTCAAACTCCCGATAATTCAAACTTTTTTTGATTTCCCTAGAAGGTTTGAGTTACCGGGAGTCGACTGTACATGCTTTACCTTGCAAAATCTATTATAGACACAATCGCGCACTAGACATAATTGCAAGCTTCTGCTTTTGGGTGACTAAAAAAATTGTTATTTTTTTAGATCAGTGAAATGGAACAGAGAGTACAGAAGCTTGAGACAGTTCTTGGCAATGACCCAACTCAGCTGGTAAAAGCACATTTTTTTGTTGTTGTCTTGCCTTCCTGTACATAATTAACAATTAATGAATGAGGCTGAGTATCTTATGAAGAATTATGGAGATCGAGGAGGAACATGCTCCGAGATCTCCATAATTCTTCATATGATACGAAAGTTGAATTCAATAATTGTTTTATTATTCATTCAAAATAATTCCTAGTTTAAAAATGTAGCTAAAACAAGCTTACCTGCATTGATGTTAAGTTTATCTTCGATAGTTTATGTTTAGGTTTGTCCAGCCTCGCAAATATTCGCCAAATAGTAGATGTCACCCTCCGAGTTTTCTTCTTGCTGTTTTTGCTTTGTGTTTAGCCATTATTTCACCTAGTTCCAGCTGTAGTTCTTACTCTTGAAACAAGTGAAGTGTCCGCCATTTTAGTTTTTACAACGAAAACAACTCAATCTCATCCCCAGGTCTTCTCGGTTAATGGTGCATTAACCTGTAGGAGGCTGCATTTTTGATGTCATTTCCTCGTTAAACACAAAATTCTTCCAAATTTGGTCATCTGTAACTAGTTATAGTGAATTATGCGTGTGCTTTTAGCCAATCAGAATTGGGAAAATATTTTGAATGAATAATAAGTTTTGTTTACTTTGTTAGTACAACTGTGTAGCAAACCCATCATCTTCTTACAACAGCCTTTTTTCAGCTATACATAAGCTTGACCACTTTCTCAACCGTGTTCAGCCAGCCCAATTGCAGTTATTATAAACTATCTTTTTGTTGTGCTCAACCAACTCTTTTTTTTTTTCTGTCAAGTTCTTGATAAGAAATAATAATGATGAATAAAGTATGAAAATCGCAAATTCACCATTTTCACATAGACCATAATATACCTTGTTTACCCCCCAAAATTTTGCATTACCATCGTTTCCAATTTTTCCTGGGTATTACTGTCATCCCAAGAGAAATCAAAGAAAATCGTTATGCAAAATTTGGGGGGAGGGGAGGTAAAAGAGGTGCATTATACTCTATATGAGAATGGTGAATTAGTTACTGCGGTTTGAAGAATTAATTGAAAGAAGATCGTCTTAGTTATAGATGCCAGGCTTGTAAGGGAGTTGAACCCTTGATCTCTGTCAACCTGGTGTAGCACTCTTCCATCTGGGAGTAGGACCTGCATTTGATTAAGGATTAATAATCTTGCAGTGAAACCACGCTCTGTAGACACCCATATATAACAGACAGTTTCATTTGTCACAACAAAAACCTCATACATTGTCTCTAACATTAACCCGGTTAATACAGACACTGGTTAATTCTGGTCAATGGACACTTTTCTATGGCCCAAGTCACATTCTCTCATATTATTATATCATCATTTCCACTATACAGCCACTGGTTATCTGTGCACTGTCCATGACTTAATATCTTACCACTGAAAACCTAACAGAAACAGCAAATGATCTTTCAATCCTTCTGTCTAATGTTCAGTCCATCTGGCTGAGTTGCAAACTTAAAGCATCAGTACATAGTAACATGTGTCCCTTATGTTTTTTCTATGAGCCTGCTTAATATGGACACCAGGATAATACAGACTTTAGGGCAGTCCCCTTGGTATCTATATTAACTGGGTTACACTCTCTATTGTATGCATTCAAAAGCTGCAAGTAGAGTAAATGTTATTAGGATGGAATCCATCAGGAAATTGACTAGTTTTAATTTTCAGTAGACAAAAACCTTGTACCAGAATAATTTTAAGCATATTGCCTTCTTTTTCACATTTTTCAATGGCTATAGATGTAATTAGTTATCTGTAATAACACCAGAGAAAATTTTTTATGGGAGCCGTAGAAAATTAATGTCAAATTTCACAAAATTACATCATCTTACACGTTAAATTTTCAGAATTTTATCTGTGTTTTCAAATTTCTTGTGAAAAATGACATTTATTTTCTCAGGCTCCCATGAGAAATTGTCTTTGGTGTTATTACAGATAACTAGTTTTATCTCCAGCCCTTGAAAAGTGTACAAAAGATTGGTTGAAAGCAAA